TCTTTTAGTCAAGTTAAGCTCTTTTGGCCAAGCTGATTACTTTATCCAATATAAGCTCTTTTGGTCGAGTTGAGTCCAAACTCTTTAGTCTAGCTGTTTTGTCATGCTAGGCCTTTATAAATGCATTTTGTAAATTCGAGCTCTTTTAGTCGAACTGAGTTCAAACTCTTTGTCTAAGATATGTTATCGAATTAGGCTTTTATGAAGGTATTTTGTAAATCTCATAAAGGTATTTTATAGATCTAAGCTTTTTTATTCAAGCTAAGTCCAAGCTTTTGGCTAAGTTATTTTGTTAAGTTAGGTCTTTATGAAGATATTTTGTATATCCGAGCTCTTTTGGTCAAGTTATGTTTGAGTTTTTTGACTAAGCTATTTTGTCAAATTGGACCTTTAGAAAGACATTTTATAGATCCAAACTTTTTTAGCTAAGCTAAGTTCGAGCTCTTTAGTCGAGTTATTTTGTCAGATTAAGCCTTTATGAAGGTATTTTGTAGATCCAAGCTCTTTTTGCTGAGTTATGTCAAAGCTCTTTGGTCAAACTATTTTGTTAAATTGGGTTTTATGAAGGCATTTTGTAAATTCAAACTCTTTTAACTGAGCTAAGTCTGAGCTATTTTATCAAATTGGGCCTTTATGAAAGCATTTTGTAAATCCGAACTCTTTTGTCCAAGCTGAGTTCGAGCTTTTTGATCGAGTTATTTTGTCGAATTATACCTTTATAAAGGCATTTTGTAGATTTGAATTCTTTTGGCTGAGTTAAGTCTAAGCTCTATGACTGAACTATTTTATCTTGTTGGGCATTTATGAAAGTAGTTTATAGATCTGAGCCCTTTTGATCGAGTTGTGTCCGAGCTCTTTTACCAAGCTGTTTTATCGAATTGGGCCTTTATAAAAGCATTTTGTAGATCCGAGCTTTTTTGATCGAGTTATTTTGTTGAATTGGGCCTTTATGAAGATATTTTGTAGATTCAAACTCTCTTAGCCAAGCAGAATCTGAGCTCTTTGACCAAGCTATTTTATCAAGTTAAACTTTATGAAGGCATTTTGTAAATCCGAGATCTTTTAGTCAAGGTATGTCCGAGCTTTTTTACTTGTTTGTAGTGTCATTTCGAACTTAGCTAAGAAAAAGCCCCTACCTAGCATACCATTTGTTTGTACTAAGTTCAAACTAGAGGGAAAGAGCTTAGAGATAAGCTTTGACACATCAAATGTTGGTATCAAGCTTCGACTGATGGTGTCCTATGAATGCAAAAAAGGACAGTTAAAAACAAAGGTAGGGAGTGTTCTCTGCATTTGCACTTCAACGTGCAAGTCAATAAGGATCAGGTCGAAATAAAAAGTAAGACTGAAAGAGAGAAATAAATGGGATCAACCTAACTCCTTAGTGCCTGAGTCTTCATATTTATAGATAAGCTAAGGGGGACTATAAGGGGACAATTAGGACAATGCAGATAATGCTAAGCTGAGGTGGCACTGACCATGTCAGGTCAGGTCAGCATAAATGACAAAGATACTCTTGATTGTCTGTTGAAGATTTTGAGAAAGAAAAAATTCATTGTATCCTTTTGACCATCAAATGCCCCTTACAGTTATCTATACCTAATCAAGTGATTCACCATATAGGAATGCACTTTCCATCTTACCAGAGATTATATAGAAAGTTTTAATAAATTTTTTTATAACAAAAGAGATTATAGCTTGGAGATAGAAGAAAAAAATTACAATTAATGAAATTTAAACTTTAAATCAATTAGATATTATTTTTTAATAATGATTACATCAATAAACTAATCTGAACTTCGAGTTCTTAAGAAGCTGCTTCTGTATCTTGATCAAGAGATATGTGGATTAGGACTATGAGTATAACCATGGATCTAAGGATTAATTATAGCACGTCTATCGGCCAATGGAATTGGCAAAATGCTGACCCAGCCTTTTGGAATATTAAAGTTTGAGTTGGGCAGAAGTAGTTTTCAAGTTTTGTGCCTGTTGAAAAGCGGTGGGGCCTTATAGGGTATGGAAGCATGTCAGGATTTCACTAGTTTCTTAGGAGCTATGGTATGTGGAACATGCAAGGCTCCTAAATTTCAAGGAATGCCTAATTGGTTTGACACACCAATCTTGTTGTTGGGCTTTAATTGAATGAATGATACCTTTGTTAAACACATGAGCATGAGAAAATTTCGAAGCAAAATGCATCTTCTCCTGCCAGGTTGCCTACTTGGATTGCTTCACCAAACAGAGTTATTGCCTTGCTGCTTCTATTCATACTGTAAATTCATTTACAACCTGAATTTCATTAAGGAATGTAAGCATCCTTGCAGTGGTGGAGACTGTTCGAAGAAGATTCTCTTTTAGACAAGGATTGAGGGCGATGCAACATATATCTACCTTTTCCTTTGCCTGTTGCATGCTGATTGGCTAACTATTTACTAGCTCAGCTTTTTCCAAATAGTCCCTTCCACAAGCTGCAGCAAAAATAGTAGCAGTAGTAGTATAGTTGAAGCCTTTATGCATGTTAATTATTAATGCTAATCAGGCTGCTGATTGAGTTTCTAGGAGGGCAAAGCTTGATTGTTGTTGAATAACATCGGCAAGATATAACAATTTGCTTCTAAATGTCCAACACTGCATCTTTATCGATATTTTGTTTTCCATTTTGTCCTGTGGAAAGCAGAATTGATAAGTCGATGAGCAAGAAAATGTTGTGCAGAACTGTACTAGCACATGGTAACATCTTTTTTGAAGTGACCCCGAAATTTCTTCCGACTAAGTTTCAAAGAAACTCTTGGGGTAACACATGGGCTAAAGTTTAGGCAAGTACCGAAGATGGTTTGAAATGACCGCAACTTGCCTTGAGCTCGATGCAAGTAACCAAAATATTACCGTACCATAGCTTCCTACCAGAGTAGCATTTATTGCCTGCTGCTAAAATTTCACTCTACACATTTAACCCTTCAGCTTACAAATAATTTCCTGAAAAAAATTCTAAATTATTTATCACCAAAATACTTAATGTGATTAATATTTGATCGAGATATAATTATAATTTTGTTGAAAATTTTTATAAAAAGAATTTTGAAGATTAACAGAGAAAGCATAGGATCATGAGTCATTCCATGTCTGAGCATGAGGTAAGCCACATGACTTTGTATTTCCTTTGGAAGTGCTTAATACTCACTTTTTATTGTAGAAACAATAATTGTTAGGTAGATTTCATGATTAACTTTCACAGTGTTTCCTGAAATTACTCAGTTAATAACTTGCACTTTGGTAGTACTTTAGTTGCTGATGCAAAGTGTAAACTGCAACTGAACTCATTGAATTCACTTTTATCATTACCCGTTGTAATCTTCCAACTGAAAGTTAATTTCCAGCATCTTCTTTCAAATTCTTCATTGATCCAGTGCTTTCAGCTTACCTTGCTACACTTTATAACAAACTTACATAATAAAGTAGAAGGAAAAAAAAAAAAAAAAACTACTGAGTTTTGGGACTCATTTCTCTGAGGGTCTGTGTAAGTATATTTTTCAAATTTCTTTTATTTGAAATTATTAAAATTAAATTTTAACTATTGAAATTAATAATATAATATTTTTATTAATAAATCACACGAGTGTTGGCTCTCATATCTATCTTTTTCTTCCATTTTGATCATGTAATTTTGTTTTTGTTTTGATATCTTAAATGTTTAATCTAATGATTTGAATGTTTTAGTGTTCAAAATTACCAAAAAAGTCACAGAAATTTTTTTATAATCATAGGAAGATTCTTTAAATTAAGTGTTTTTTTGGACATTTTTAAATTTTTTACTTTTGTTCCTTTTTTCTTTTTTTTCCAGTATCCTCAATTACCAAATTGTTCCCTAATGATTAAAGGATTTTTAGGGTATTTTTGTCATTTCCTTTTGATATCTTTTCTAATTTTCTTCTTTTCTTTTATTCTCTATTTTTTTTCAAATATCCTAAATTAAAATATAATATAATTTAGAATGATTTAAAAAAAACAATTATTAAACGCGTAAATTTAATCAATGAATAAAATTGATTTGTTTATAAACAAGGATTGAGGGTTATAAAAAATTTTGGGTATTTAAAATTTTTAAATAATGACATATAGTGTGAATTTTTCATAGATTTATTTAAAAAAAAAAACTTTTGGAAAATTTTCATGGTTGTTTTTCTTTTTTTTTTTCTGAATTTAAACTTGAATAAAAAATTTTAGATACTTGGTAAAAGAAATATACAAAGAAAGAATAAAGGAAAAATAATAAAATAATAAAAATACGAAATTACCAAATTGTGGACTGCAATGAGTTAATTTTATGCAATTTTTTTTCTATCAAATCTTTTTTTTTTTTTTCATTTCGTTTTACAATTTTTAAAAGCAAGCTTTATACTTATTATGTTTCAACTTTGTCATTTAAAATCTTCAACTTATGAATTTATTATAATTTTTATTATGATTTAATTATTAAAAAATTAAAAATTGAATTAATAGTCAATAAACTATTGCAGTACATATATATTTATAAAATATACCTTTGTTTTATTTATAAAATATATAATTAAAATAAAATTGAGTATACTTAAAATAAATTAAAAAGAAAAACTCTCGTCGCCAAACACAGAATACGTTTTAATTACGTTAAAAATTATGCGTGACTCTTATTTTGTATTCTTTTGGAGGTTTGGAAGTTTATAATTAAAGGGACTTTTTATAAAAAGTTTTATCGATATCACCAACAACAGCATCTGTCCTTCGAAGAAGAAAGCAAAAGAAAAAAATATATATATATATATATTTGTTTATTGCTAGTCTTTTGTGTAATTTGACAAATTTTTTGCTCTCAATGTTGAATGCTTTAACGTTGCAACGTCACTATCAGTAGGGCCGACTTGCATCGACATGGAATTGATTCATAAAATTTGCTTTTTCTGCCTTCACATTTTGGCCATTTATACTTAATTGGACGGTGCAGATTGTTGTTGTGTCGATCCATTATTTTTAGCTTTGTCCTGATAATCAAAGCAAAAATTAAACTTTCTACAAGAGACTTTGTTCAATGATGGTGTCTATTTCCTTGTGGTTTCCGTCTGTCCTTCTATATTCTTTTCCTCTTTTATTATATTAATTTGATCTCATCAAAGTCTACCATGTTTATCCTGAACTTCCTTTTTGATCTCCAAACCTACTATTTCTAATCCATGTGCTTTCTAAATCTCTTCCTGGCCATGGATTCGGATGATGAGAGACATGCTAAACGAAGGAAAACCAAGCCTGAAGATGATCAACAACAGACAACTGGGATGGAAAGCCTTCCACACGAAATCATCGTTGACATACTTTCAAGGCTACCGATCACATCTTTGGTGCAGTTCAAGTTTGTATGCCGAGGATGGCGTGCCTTAGCTCAAGATCCTCTTCTTGCTGATATGCATCTTTCCTGGAAAACTGAGAGCAATCCATGCCTCATCCTTCACTGTGATATTCCCATCCGAAACCAGCTGTATTTTGTTGATTTATCTGCTCACAACAAAGACAAAGAGAAGGTAAAAAGGTTATATGCACCTTTCCAGGCTGCCATGCCTGAATTTGATGTAGTAGGATCGTGCAATGGTTTATTATGCTTTTCTGATTCATTATACAACGATGCACTTTATATTTACAATCCTTTTACCCTGGATTATAAAGAGCTGCCAAAATCTAGACAATATACAGATCAGGAGGTAGTGTTCGGATTTGGATTCCATCCAAAAACAAAGGAATACAAGGTAGTTAAGATAGTTTACTATAGGAATACTAGTACTAGTAGCTACAGTCGTGCCCGAAGAATCGTTTATCCGCAATCAGAAGTTCAAATTTTCACACTCGGAAGCTCTGCCTGGAGGAGTCTTGGAAAAGTATCACACCAGTTTGTAAGGCGGCCTTCAGAGGCTCTGGTTAGTGGAAGACTTCATTGGGTGAGTAGGCCACGGAGATATTATCCAGCTCGCCGTCTTATGTCATTTGACTTAGCAGATGAACAATTCCGAGAAGTCCCAAAACCTGATTGCGGTGGTCTAAACAGGTGTAATTTTCATCTGTCTGTTTTAAGAGGTTGTCTTGCTGCAGCTGTTTATGGAAACTATGGGAAATTGGAGATATGGGTCATGAAAGATTATAATGTGAAGGAGTCTTGGATCAAAGAATTCAGCATTGGTGCTTACATGCCAAAATGTTTGAAACAAAATTTGGACCGAGACAGACCTTTGAAGATATGGAAGACTGCTTCAAATGGAAAAGTTGTTCGAGTTCTTTGCTTACTAGAGAATGGTGAAATCTTGTTGGAGTATAAGAACAGAGTTTTAGTCTCCTACGATCCAAAGAAAGGGAAATTTAGAGATCTTGTATTTCAGGGGATACCTAATTGGTTTCAAACAGTTGTTCATGCAGGCAGTTTCAATTGGATCAACACCCCTCCTTGATTTGTGAAAATTGCAGCAATGAAAAAATGGATGCTTCTTTCCTTGTGAGTTTGCTGCTCTCTAAGATTAAAGTGATGCTGTTCATCAATGTTTGTTTGTCCTTCCTGTCTTACCTTGATACATCTCATTGTAATTTCATGAATATTATTATACACAATCCAAATTTGGAAATTTAGATGATAAATTTCTGCTTTTCAAACTGCATTTCTTATGAACTATTCCCCTTCTGCAATCAAATGATTTCCTCTTTCCTTGTAAAAGTTAGACACCAATTCATCTTTCTAGGCCAATAAGGGGATAATATAAACAAAGGAAAAACAGATTTGAAAATTGTATTTCAAGACAAAGGGAAAAAAAAGAACTCAACCACCATCATTACAGACAATTAAAAATTCTGATGCCTGGCGCAAGTAGTATTAAATGGTATGAATCTATTTCAAACCTTCAAGAAAAACCAAAATGAACTGTTATATGCATGTGAAAAGGGTTTGTCTAGATCCTAACTCACCTGCATGCATTATGATAATCAACAAGGAGTTGCAATAAGCCAATAATGTTTTTTTTTTTTTTTTTTCTCAAATTCACTCTAAATTTTCCCTTGCTGTCCTAGGACAGCTGCTGAAAGTGTAGAAGCTTGGATGGATTTCCAGGCCAGAGATCAAGGTAAGTTCTTAAGAAGGGTGTTCAATATATTTAGAATTATCTTTTCCCTGATGGCTTAATTTTCTCAAAATCAGGAATTTTTCAATCTTAATGAGCGTAGGACATTAGGACTGGTAGTTCAACCAATTAATCTTGCACCTAAAAAAAATTCATGGAAAGAGAGAAAAGTCCTCTGATCATGCCTTTTCCACCGATCCAAAGTTGAATAAATTGCCGTAAAGTCAAGTCACAAAGGGGCCTATGATGTGTCCTCTAGTGGCACATGCAGAGAGATTCCCTTCAGAATGGAACTCTCCCCAGCTGAAATGTTTGAAAGTAATAATAATTTCCATTTTACTTTGAAATTTTTAACTATTTCCACTATCTTGCCCCATCCCTTGCAGGCTGCAGTAGGCAGCAGCTATGTACACTTTTTCTACTCTTTACTCTTTCTATAGTGTATAATCTTTTCTGCTTTCTGTTTTCCACTCATAAATGAAAACAAAAACCAAAAAAAAGATTGTACTAGACAATCCACTTCAACCTTTTCCATGACTATCTGACATCACTCTTAACCAATGCAAGCACATGCGCAAACCTTTACCACATTTTTGGTTCAGTACCTACATATTGTGACCATATCCAATTCTTAAATGCCCTTTGGTTTTCATCCAGGGACCATGAAATGGTCAGAATGGTAAACATCATTTTGTAGAAACAATCCCTCCAGGCTTCTATTACTGCTGGTCAACACAAGTTTTCATTGGCTGACCTCTTTAATCTTAATTTGGTTACATTAAATTTATTGCTCAAATGTGAAAAGATTGTTAGATCCCATTGTTTCATTTGATATGTTAGTGAAAATAGTTCATGAAATCCAAGACCCTCACAGACTAAAATGCAGATCAACATCATTTCATGTTTAGTGCAATTCAGACTGTTCATTTTCGAATAAGTAGTGCTACAGGAAGGTTATCTTTCTGTTTCTTAATCATTGGATCGGCCAAAAGACTGCTTGAAAGAAGGATATGCTGTGGAAGTTTGAGCAAAACAATTGAACTGTGTCACCTATCCCACTTACTGCGAATGGAACAGGACGTGGACGATCACCTAAAAGCCAAACCCTACGTCCATATTTAAAAAAGAAAAAAAATCCGCTGAAGCAATTGCTTAACAGTATTAGTTTCAATTCAAAAACTACTCAATCTGAAAGCAAAAGAGAAGAATATGCTGTGGAATAAGAATGCATCATTATTTATTATTGAAAGAATGCAAGCAGGCATTGGAACAAATAAGTACCAAAAGCTTTGGCCACCAGCTCCTGCAAACTTTGAAAGGTCATTTGTTTTTCCCAGTAGTATATTTGCAGGACCACTAGCAAGCTCTGATTAACCAGAAACTCCCCATTATGAACCCAACGTCTCATCGCCCATCTGTTCGCGACTCTACATCTCGTGCATGGCCCAGATGGACAGGCGATAGGCTTTGCCTTTAGTTGGTTTTAGCTTTTTGACTTCAGCGAAGGCATCTTAATCCAAGCAAGGGACGAGAAATATAGTTAAGTTCAAGGCTCCAGCTTTTACTTTTAAAACCTTCCCTGTGCCGCACCACTCTCTTTTGTGCTTTTTATTTTTTTTATTCTAATGCAGCAAAACACAAGATTTTATGTTGTGAATTCAGAGGAAGTGGGCAAAGGAAAGGATTTCTTTTCCTCTCTTTGTTTGGATTATTTTTCTTTAAAGAAGTGCAATTTGAGGGAAAGCCATGTTACCTACTCCATTTCTCTTACCAGATTCCCTATTTTCTCATAGCCTTTGTGTTTTTTTTTTTTTTTTTTTCATTTTTTTTCCTCCAAAAATAAGCCACCTAAGCTATTCTCTCTGAAACGAAAAAGACCGCTGCGGCCCTGCCCAATAAAACGTTGTGCGTTGCAGTGAAAAACGGGCAGTTCGCTTCACAACATTTGAGGTTTAAATTATTTTGATTTTGGTTAGTTAAATGAGATATAATTATTTTAACATTGTTTTTTATTTTATTTTTTAATTCAAATCGTTTCGGATTTAAAATTTTTATGTTTCGATAGGTTTGCCAAATTCAAACATTCTTAAGGTCGGACCTTTGATTTTTTTTATCAAAACGAATATAGTTTTTTAAATAATTTTTTGGACTTGAATTTATTTTATCATTTTTGTCCGTACATTTAGCTAAGTATTGTATATAGAAGTAAGTTCTATATAAAAAGAATTGTATAAAGAAATAAGTCATAATTTTGATATGATTATTTACTAAAATAAAAGAATTAATCGCCGAAGAAAAGTTAAATAAAAAGAAATTTGTGATCGTTACTAATAATCAATGAATAAAATTCATTGTTATATAATATATTTGAAATGCATAATGAGTACCTAATTAATAAATTAATACACAAATTTTAAAATAAAGAATTTACGTAACGAATCAAAATGGACACTTCGAAATGATGAAAAATTAAAAAAAAAAATTTTGAAGAAAAAAAATTTTTGGACATCCCTATAATTTTTGTCTGAAAACTTTTAAAAAGTGAAAAATAAGAAATTTTTTAGACATCCCAAAACTTTTTTTAAACACACGATAAAATTAATAAATTCATCAATATTAATATATATTATATTTGATTACTCTAAAAAATTTCTAAAATCTCCACTGCATACCTAAAAAATAATAAATGATTATAAAACATACTTTTCATAGTGCTGCAAATAAAAGCTCACAAAAAACCAAAATATAAATAGTCATGTTAGCTTATACAGCTTAAGTAACTACTCTATTATAGTGTTAGCTAAGCATTAGTTCAGATTACATGTGTACTAATAATATTTTTAAAGATTATAAATTCAAGAGAATTTAACATATAAAATCTTATTCAGATAAATTAAATATAAAGCGATTGAGGGTCAAAAATAAAATCAGAATTTAAAAAAAAAAAAAAAAAACTACTCCATTAGGGTTCTTTTACATTTCTTTATAGTTCGCAGTCCTTTAATTAGGGCTACTTGAGGCATTTAAAGCAAAGCCAATAATGGAATAACTCTGGTTTGGTGAGGGTTTTCTGTTTTCCTAAGTAGCAAGCCCAAACCCATCAATAAAAAGTGAAACAAAGATGCAGTTTCTATAAAATTTTAAATTCAAGATCATCAGCAGATTATAATTAAGTTGAATTCCACGTGAAATTTATACATAAAATTCTTATAAATATATAATATAGCAATCCATGCCTTACCCTCCACTCTGCTCATTCCAATGGCCATCAACTTTAACTGGTCGATAATTTCAGCTATGTCCATGACAACCTTCGAAGCTATAAAAGCCTGTAAAAGAAATCAACCTGCCTCTGGATGATCGCAAGTTTACTTCTGTGCTAAACTGCAATGGTTTCTTGTGCTTATTCTATATGGAAGTCGATAATCTATGCACGTAAAGCAAATTTGTGTGTACAATCTTTTCACAGAAGAGTTGACAGAGTAGCCTCCAAGGCCAATGACATCATAGTATAAGGTGGTTTCAGGGTTTTGATTCCATCCAGCGAGTAAAGAGCGCAAAGTGGTGAAAATAGTAGAACATGAAAGTGTTAAGTATAATTATTCTAGGTTGTTCAATTGTGAATTGTCTTTGGAACAAAGTACTGAGGTTTTTACTTTAGGTTCATCTTTTTGGAGGGTTAAAAGAAACAATCCCTTCCAAATTCGTATGCGAACTAGTGAAGTTTTTGTTAATGGAGCTCTTCATTGGTTTGGCCAACCTAAGGGTACTGAGCCACAAATTATTGTTTCCTTTGACTTGACGCGCAAGAAGAGTTCTGTCTTTTTTCTTTGCCAAACTTCACAATTGGTGGACCTGCTAATAGCCTTTCTGTGGTTTCTAGGATGGGGATGAACAAAATTGATGTATGGTTAATGAAAGATTATGGCATAAAGGAGTCTTGGACTAAGGAGTTAACTATTGATCCTGATCAATTTCCACTGCTTGGCTTCCTTAGGCCATTGGCCCTGTTTGCTTATGAGAGATTTAGGAACAAGATCAGGAAAATAAAAGTAGGAAACCTCCCCTGACCATTCGAAGTAGTTCCTCATATCTAAAGTTGCAATTCAGTATTTAGCTATATATAGTTGTATTCTGTAACAAGTATTTCTATGTTCCAATGATCTATCATGGAGCAAAACAGTTGTCTTGAACATTAGGTATCAGAATACATTTGTTTAATGTTGATTTTTCTCTTGACATCGCACTGAAGTTTTACTCCCTTGACATATTTGTTCTTGATATTTCTCGGCATCTGGGGTACTGAATGTTCCGCCAGTTTAAAAAAACCCAAAAAAAAAAAAGATTATTCACAGAGTAATTAAGTTAAATGCTGATGATGAACAGTAAACACAATTCATACACTTCAAAAGATATGGATTTGGCCTATTGCATACAGATGGCAGTTGAAAGGTTCAAGAAACCAAATAAACAGATTAATATGGTGTAAATAGACCAATTAATAAAATTCCTTGCAAGGAAGAGAACAATTTTTTATTATTCAAGTAACAAAGACCATATTTAACCTGAGACTTCTAAAATCTGGATTCTATGGAATTTACTCTGATGAATGTATGAGCATATGGCCTTTTAACACCAAAACTAATACTGCTATTGTAGACTGTGGATAACATTGCTTGTGATCAAGTTTAACGTATAGAAATAATGGTTTAACTCTGATCACCAGTGGTCCGTCTCAGGTGCTCCAACACCAATTTTTCACCAGTGAGGTGTTCAACCAATCCTTACATTTCAAAGAAACTAAATTTAGAGCCCAATCAAATGGGAAAATATTACACCTTCAACAAAAGCAACACTAATACCCTAACACCTAGGTCATTCAGCTAAAGTAAATACACATAACTTGTATAAGGAAAAAAAAAAAAAAAACAAGAAGAAAAGAGAACAATAGTGTTCAGATTACTACCATTTGTATAATCTCGACAGTCATGAAACCCAACTCTCAAATCAGCTTCCCATGTGTTGTTGAACTTATAGGCTTTATCGACAGCATCCTCTTCCGAATATCCAACAAACCAACATCTGCTCCTAGGCAGCTTTTTTAACATCCTTGTAAGAACAACTCCTATTGGAAGTGTTATTATAGCATATAATATGAAGGAAAAAAACTACTTATGTTGTCAATAACAAAGAGATGACAAAAGTTTAACTAAACCACAATCAATGTTCTCTGCATTTTAAAATTTGGAAAATTCACACTTTTGTTCATGTTCACATAGTTGTACCTAAATGTTGGCAGCATATATGGATATTCCATCCAATGTTGTAACCCAAATCACAAAATATGCATAAATGCGGAAAGTCTGAATAGCAAAAGTATAATAAATTCTTACAATGTCCTGTAGAAGAAGCATGCCAACCATATACCTAATTATATAGGAAAATCTAACATAAGCAACTCAATTAGGAAGAAAAAGCTGTTCAATAACCAGTCTCTAGTCCTATATCCCTCTCTCAGTCTTGAAAATCAGACATTTGATTGATAGTCATACTTTCCTTTCACGTTAAGTGAAGAGTGATGATTAATACCTTCTGCATGCAACTAAATATATAATCTTGAACCACAGATAGAATCATAGAAGGCAAAACAGAAAGAAGATCACAGTTAATGTTGAACAAAATATTCTTTAGAAACCAATGAGAGGTTTCTGATGTTGAGGCCTCCTTGAACAAAGCAGGCAAAAAATATGAAAATATTGTCTGATATGATTAACTGACATACATAGAGTTTTTTTTTTTCTTTAACTTCATGGGAGTGCGGCAGAACTTTTAAATCTGATACATTGATGAATTTATAAGCCATGTAATGATCAGGGCTCACAATTTCCTCAAGAACTACCTTTTTTATGAATCCTTAAAGAACATTTTAAATTGTAAGAGTATCAAATAAAATTCAGCAAAAACTTATTGCTAACCTGGTACTGCTCTACCAGATATAGCTGCAAGTGCTGTGTATATGTTCTCAGGATCTTTAGGTTGAAAATCAAAAACAATGGCCTACACATAATTTTCAGACCACATCAGTAAATAGAGATTGAATATCCCTACAATTTTAACTAAATATTATAAGGATAATAGAGAACGGTAATTGAAATTATCGTACATCCTGAGTGTCCACTGATTTACGTAGAAAATTATACCATATCTATACATAGAAAACTTCACACGCATATCCATTCTCCAAGATGATAATTAAACTAAAAATTATACCATCACAAATAGGATGCTTGGAAATCAAATTTAGAAATATAATACAGTTGTTGAGAGTAATCAAAATTGGAGCTGTGCCAATAAATAACGGGATCAGAAGTCTCATAAGCTGTTGAATAAAAAGTCAAATAACTGCCTAAAGTTGAGAGTCATATAATGTTGTAGGACCATAACTCTGTAGCTGACTATTTAGCTAGTTTTGGCACTAATATGAAAGAGAATGCAGAGAGATGATTTCAAATGGTGCTAAGCGGTGTACTTACTAGAATAAAATTTATATATGAGTAAAGAATCTAATATTATTAAAAAATTTGAATGAGATGTCATATATATGCATAAGAGATCTAAGAACCTAATAGCTTAAGTTTTTGAACTCAAATGATATCCAACATGTATGTATGAGTTCTCCGGTATGCTCTCATGAACTCCAAGTATGGTTTATCTCTTTAATAAGTGGTATCAGAGCCAGTTTACAACGGGTTCGAGAAGTCACAGGTTCGAGTCCCAATAATGTTGTTGAAGGGGAATTATTGGCAGATCGGAGGTTAGCCATGTCCATCAACTCCACATACTCGAACACCGATATTAAAGGAGATTGTTAGTAGATCGGAGGTTGATCGCGTCCATCAACTCCATGTGTTCGAAAATTAGTATTAAAGGTTCAATTTGGATGTAACGAATATATGATAATATCTAGAAATGGAATACCCAAGTGGTCAATGTGTTGAGTCAACCTAGAATATAAGTTTGAGGGAGCATTGAGATAATCTAAATGATAAGGTTGAATGCTATGACCTACCCAAAAAACGCACTAGAGATGTAAGGTTGCTGGTCCAAAGAAAGTGTTGATAAGACTTACTCGTACAGGGGAACCGAAGTCCAACCGCATCTATCAACTCCATGTATTCGAACCTCAGTATTAAAGGTTCGACTTGAATGCAACGAATATATGATAAAATGAAAAAATGAAACACTCAAATGGGCGAAGTGTTGAGTCAACTAGAGTGTAAGCTTGAAGAAGCATTGAGACAACCTAAGTGGTAAGGTTGAGTGTTGTGGCCTACCCTAAAATGCGTATTAGAGATGTGAGGTTACTTGTCCCAAAAAAAGTGTTGATAGGACTTACTTGTACAAAAAAATCGAGATGAAATTTGATTAGAACTCACAAGTAAATGAGAAAGATTATTAAAATAAGATTTACATGTGAGTAAAAAATTTCACATCATTAAAAAATTTGAATGAAATATATTATATATATATATATGAAAGATCTAAAAACTTAATAACTTAAGTTTTTAAGCTCAAGTGATGTCTAACATGTATATACAACTTTTCTAGTGTGCTCTTATAAGCTTTAAATATGATTTATCTTTTCAACACTTACTGCAACTGTTCTTCCTAGCATATTTTATTATTCATTTTCAAAGAGGTAAAATTTTAAGAACTGAAACTCAAATTAATTGGTTGATAGAATCACCTTAAAAAAATAATTTTCAGTGTGACTAACCTTCAAATCCCAACAACACCTGCGCCCCTTCTCCTATTTCCAAGGTACGACCTCTTTTGTACCAAAAAAGAAGTTTTTGAGAACTACTATTGAATTACAGCATAACTCTGTTAAATTCTTATAGAACATAATTTTGCCTAAAATTGTAACTTTTCACTGCAATTAATTGGGGAGTTGTTCGATTAACAATTTCCAAGAAAATGAAATCTTAACAGAGCAAAAAAGAATGCCACTAGACAGTGCCCGCTTCAGTTAGGTTTTCCAGACAAAGCTAGCTCCTACTAGCACAACAGTAAAGACCCCAAAAGAAAATGAAAAAAAAATTGGGATAATGAAGAGGAAGGAACCTGAGAATGAAGAGGAGGAGGAGAGGGTTTGATGATGACCATGAAGTGCTGCAAGTCCCACAGATTGAGAGAGTAAGCAGCAGACATGAAAAGCTGGGCTGGTCCCCTTGTAGCTCTTAGTGCAACTGCTGCCACATAAACTTCATCTTTGCCTCTTGTCACTGTTGATTTTGTGAAGGAAAGAGATGACATTTTGGTTTTGCCATTGGATATGGAAGTGAACCGTTAAAGTAGTTAAAAAAGATGCTAAAATAACAAAAGAAATTCCTAAACTTTATTTCTTATAAGTCTATATATTTTTATTATATTAGTCTAATTTTGTATTTTTTAATTTATATAAATATAAATAAATAAAATAAAAATGTAGACTAATATAACAAAAACATAAAAACTTATTAAAAAATAAATATTTCAAATTTTTTTAATATTTTAATCTTAGAAAAACCTAAAAGTATCCACTCAAACCAGCTGGGCGCTCAGGCCCACCCATAATGGGCCTCGAAGACTAGGAGTCATAAACAAAGTGTTGGTGATTTGAAATATCAAAGTACGGGCAGCGAGTAAAAGTTGCAACGCTGACCCGAATTTGAAATACTCGCGATTTGATGATAAAAAAAAAAAATTCCAAGAATTAAAATCCTTCCAACTCAAATAAATTCTGATTTGAAATAATTTGAATTCAAATTATTTGAATATGAATAATTTAAAATTAAATTCAGTATAATTTTATTTTTAAAAAATGGTAATATAATTAAAAAATTATTTGTTTTATTTTTTTAATTATGTTTTAAAAATTTTTAAAAGTATTTCTATTATTGTAATTAATTAAATTATTTATCATTTAACCATTAACACCATTTATTATCATTAAACTTTTTCTTCTCTTGGATAACTAATGACTTTTTTATTAAAAAAATAAGCAAAAGAGACTTTATTCAATAGAAGATAAATACATATGACTTGTCTGGCTGCCTAAAACTTGCAAACAAAAAATTTTATTAATCCAACCTCAGCGGCACCGTTTTGACTTTTGGATTTTAGAGAATATGGAAGGCGCTTCAAGAAGGGTTGGAAGTTGGAACAATTTTGGGTTTTTTTTTAATTTTTTCAGTTTATTTTTGGAAAGAACAAATTTAGAAATATTATATAGTATAATTTATACTTATACAATTATACTTGTATTGTTATATATAAAATTAACACTCAAAACTAAGCCTTATAAGGTTAAAAGTTAAAGTCAAATCAATCAAGTCATGCCATGAAATCCCAATGCATTACCTTATGTCATCTTCATTTTTCATTGTACTATTTCTTATTCATACAATCAATTATTAAAATTACATTAGTACTATATCAAGCCATTTTTCTGTTTAAAAAAAAAAATTAAGTATTAAGATTCGACCATTAGTTTCCTTTTGCCATTATCTTACTCTTTAATAAAGGTCAGTATTATGAAATTATTTAGTTATTTATCCGTTTTCAATTCATTACTAATGAGGAACGCAGATGAGTAAAATTGTATAAATTATTAATAATGCATGAAAAATTGAAAATAATTATTAAATAACAGTCAATAAAAATCATTAATAGTTTTTTATCTTGAACAAAATTAATTTTATATTTAACCTAACATAATTTTATATGAAAAATTATTTTTAATTTATTTGATTTTCATATTTTAATTTTATATAATTTAATTATATATATTATTTTAAAAATTGTTTTTATGGTATTGAAAATCTAAATGGGAGGAATCACTGATATCAATAGTCACTTTCCGTGATTGAGAAAATGGATGCTTCATTGAAGTAAAGTTAACACCAATGGCACCGTATGCCCAAATCTTAAATAGAAAACTCGATGTAGGCTGATCAACAACTGAATAATTTAATATTGGCTGTATATTTTTTTTTTTCTAAATACTATGAACCAACCAAGTAAAATTTGTAAACAACTTACGTTTTTCATCTTTTAGAGATTTTTTATTGAAAAAGTTAACCCCTAAATTATATGAATGATGGATCATTTTCATACTTGATGAAGGTATAAATTTGGTTATTTAGATATATTTATTTAAAATGTCCTCAAAATAAAATAAAATAAAAAGTTCCTTTGATTTCTCCCTTTTTAAACATAGTAGAAGAAAAGGAAAAAGAAAGTTGCATTGTAAATTCTGATAAAGACTTCAAGTTGCCAGAAATAGGAAGCAGTAGGAGGGAGATCAAATCATACTATTAAACCAGCAGATTTTGCATACAAAGGATCGGGACTCACCAACTGTCAACACACTATCACAGTATCATGTGATCAGACATAATTTTTACCAATTGCTTAAGACTAGAAACAGCGTGGCATGTGAAATGGATGATTTTTTTAGTACCGGGAGACCAATAATTTGAGAATAAGAAAAAAGATTACAAATGCGAAGGTTTAAACCTCAAACCTCCAAGATATTACATTAAAAGTATCTGATTAACTGAGTTAAATTCTTAAATAAAAAAATGGATGATCTTTGGGTATGACAGTAGTGTGAGGCTCATTGATTTTGTGATTCTAGACTGAGATTTTTTTTGGGTATACTAGGCCACACTGAAAGAGTGTGAAGGAAAAATAATATATGCTCTACAGTTAAATCATTTTAAAAGAACAAATCCTGATCTCAGGTTTTGGGTATATTGGAGCAAATGGAAGAAATTGGATAGTAGATAAATGTTGAACAAAAGGACTACCATGATTTATTACTATCAAGACAACATGCATACTGCCTCTTCTAATAAACATACTAGCGAAATAATAAATTTAAGCAGCCTCCTTGGGACCAAGAAACCATTCCTTACTGAGAACGGATGACCATAAAAATCCCCCCAATGCAAACTTGAACCATCTTTAACTTCCTCTGCCATATGCCATTGTATGTTAATTTAGTTACTTGGCATGCTATCATTGGTGGGTCATTTCCATAATTCCATTCCCTTGTCCCAAGCCTCATCCACCTGACTACATCCTTATTGAACTACATACAGAAACTTAACATGACATGCAAACTTAGCTAACAGTAGCCACTAGACAGACTTCCATTGATCCGCAGCACCTCACAAGCTTTATTATTACTCGGTCTTGTCAGCTGGAACTTCTGTTTCAACCTTCTCCTCAGCTTCAGCTGGTTTTTCTTCTTCCTTAGCGACTTCTTCTTTGGGTGCTTCGACTGTGGCCTCTTGTTCTGGTTCTCCCGCTGCTGCTCCCTCACTAGACTCTGTAGTTTCTTTGGTTTCTTCAACAGTTATCTCAGTAGTCTGCTTGCTCTCCTCGACAACTGGTTCCGTTACTGTTTCCTCAGGAGTCTCCTCTTCTTTTTTCTCAACTTCTGGCTCCTCAGTGACAACCTTCGCCTCTTCTACTACCTCCTTGGTTTCGACTTCAACTGAAGCTTGAGGTTCTGGAGCCACGGGTTCTTTAGATGCTGCTTCAGGCTCTGCTTCCTTTGTCTCTCCAGCAACTGGTTCCGTTGCGGGAGCTGCAGCGACTACCTCCTCTGTTGTAGTTTCTTGAACCTTGATTGATTCTTCAGTTTTCTCCTCAGGAAGTGCAGTTTGAGCTGACACAACCTACAGAACACATCAAATAAGAGAAAAAAATACTATCAGTTATTCTGTTATTGGGGTTTAGGGTATATAGGCTAGGTGCACAGAACAGCTAATGAAAACAAAGGAAACAATAAACCAAAGCTCAAAAATAAGAATCCAATACCTCTGCAGTAGCCATAGGATTCCCAAGGAAATGTAATTAGGATCACAAAGAAATTTGTAAGAAACAGGCAAATAATTAAAGGCAAGCAGAGAAAGAATGCTTTGTGTCTATGCAGAGATGATCAAAAGAGAGTGGCTTATATAGAGGTGTAGAGGCCTAAAAGTTGATGAGAGAAAGAGGGGGTGGTGGGTGCAATTGAAGAATCTTGGGATTTGACACCTTATCTCACTGACTACAAGGTCATCTGCATGTTTGGCAATAATGTTATAAACTTTAAATTCTATCTTAGAGATGAGGTTATGCAATATTCAATTGACAATTGTTTGTAAACTTTTGATTGGAGAGGCCAACTAATGGAGGCCACTTTCAGCTAAGCCATAATCCTTTTTTGGTTTTGTGATTGTGTGCTTTGTGCAGTCGGTCTTGGAGGTGACCTGAATATCATCCTTTCATGTTGCAGTCCCCCCCCCCCTCTCACATTCTAGCGCTTGGCTTAAATTCAAGTGGTTTTTTTTTTTTTTCTACTCATGAATTGAAGGAGAACCTTTTCAATTTAGAACAAAAACAGGTGGGGGCAATTTAATACCAATAGAGAAGCAAGTGATCAATAGAGGCAGCGCAGTTGATAAGGAAAGTTTGGCCGACCATGCCACATAAAGATGCGACCAATGGGCACAATTTACTTGAAAGAAACGAATCAAATTCTGATGTGGCAGGTTACATGGACCATGACTTTGTGCCTTCTTTTTGGTTAAAACTGGAAAACCTTTCCACATCAGATAGGATGGCGATGCCCCCCCAATTGCCATTGGGACATCCCTTAGATGCTGACATTAGTACTGCTGTGAGCTGTTGAGTCACGTTGAGGATCTGTACACTGTGGCCGAGTTGGAATAACTCTAATGACTTGGCTCTGCTTCCCCATTCCCGACTTCCTCCGTTAGAATTCGCCATTACATTTCTAATCCAATTTTCAATTTGATTATTAAAATTTAAAGATTCACTTGCTGTTGGTTTTTCTCCATCAATTTGCACACACAATTAACGTATTTGATATTAGACTAGAGAATATGGAATTATTTAATATTAGATTCGCTGTAACAATCTCCTAAACCGTAAATTTGACTCCAAAATGTTTGTGCCTGTTGAAGTTGAAGGCAACGGTTTGGTCACTTCAGTCATTAATCATGGCGTGTTCGTGGATCCCTAAGGTAACATGTTTGCTAACTGAAAACTTCGTACGCTAGCAGTCAACCTGATTGTGCCTTGACATTTGTAAAACTTGGCCCCTGCCTTATTTCGTTGCCTTGGCTTCCTACAAAGCTATGGGATTCCCCGTTTCTCTTCAAAATCCAACAACCGAAACAAAACAAAAGAAATCTTCTTTTCCGTCTTTCCTGCTTCGGCTGCTCTGTAAAGTTCGCCAACCTGGCTTTTGGCTAATTTCTGCGTGGGCGGTGGAGGCTCCTACCAAAATGGAGCCCACGTGGGACGTTCAACTACTCCTAACCTATGGGAGAATGACGAGTGTTATGCGGAACACGGACCACGTGGGATGACGTTATCCGTACCCTCTCATGTCACTATTTGGATTTTGATTGGTTGATTTCGGTGGGGGAGTGGGACCCCACGCATGTATTCATGATAAATCCGTTGACGGGATCGAAAGGGCTTTTATGGGCTGGTTACATCATCCGATGTGATCATAAATCAATCAGGTGATGAGTGATCATTTGGAATTAACCTTCCTTATTCAACACCATACATGATTCTTATCAGGGCAATTTCTTCATTTTGGTAATTAGCCAAAGTGTATTGCCTTTTTAGCATGTTGCAGCTAGTTGTTAGGAATGCACTCAATATTGATTTGAGTGAAGGCAAATTAACGGGGTGTTCTGGATACACCAACAAAGTTTTTTTTGTATATCTTCAAAAATTTTTTTCAAAAATACCCAAATACTAAATGTCAATTTTAATATTTAGTAAAAGATAAAAGATTTATACACCTTAAAATTACATTGTATTTATTGAAAATAAATTTTTAAAAATTATATTATATTTTTAAAAATTTATTTTTAAAAAATATATATAATTCTCGAAAATAAATTTTTAAGAATAAAATATAACTCTCCAAAATCTATGTTCGAAATTTTTTTGAGTTCTTGAAAATAGATTTTCAAAAATTATTTTGTGTTTTCAAAATTTTTTTATGGGAATACATATATATTTAATTATAACTCTTAATAACAAAAAAATCATAATTTTTAATATTTTAGCCACTGAAAAATGTCATTAACAAACTAACAATACTAACAATAAAAATTGGTGGCTGAAAAATTAGATACTATCAAATTTATCAATCTGTTTATGACATTGTCAATGTTAATGTTTTATAGGGTGTTCAAGCTCGGACTATCATGCATACATACACATGAATCATCAATATACCTATTCTTATTTGATCATGTATATAAATGGAGGAGACATATTAGTTCTCAAGCATGCATGAGTATAAAAAGTATTTTTGTCCTAAGCCCAGAAAACTAAGAATTCCATTTTGCCCATATAAAACCAAAAAACTAAAAAAATGATGTTTTTTATTTTCTAAAAGCTCAGGAGAAAGAATAAGTTTATACCATGCATGTTGAAAATTGATTTCATTTTTATTCGTACATATGATCAAGTAAATGGATTCATAAGCGTATAATTATGATTTTTCAATGATTAAAAGTGAAATCAAGCTTTTCAAAAATAAAGATCCAAAAAATCTCAAATCTTTTTAGATATTTATTTTCATAAAACTCAATTTCAAAAAATAGAGAGAAGCAAAGAGACATGGTAGTAATAAAAGATACAAAATGAATGGTGAGATGTAATTAGTAAAAATAAAAAATTAAAATTTGAATTCAAAATGTATTTAAAAGTGATGTGTATATAATATTAAATAGAGTGTAAATAAAATTTCCCCGAATTAATAAGTTTGGTGTCACCTATTCCCATGCATAAGTAAATTTTCAAAATCTAGTTATACCTCAATTTATATGAATAATTAAATAACATCTATTTAGATATACCAACCAGTTTAAATTCACTTAATCCGGTCCATATTCCATTATTGAATATGTAGAAATCTTGGTGCTTAAAATATTTAGTAATGGCCAATTCCAATAAACAAAGACAAATATTAAAGTGTTCCACAACTTGGTCATTGGTTATTCACAAGAAATAAATATCTGTATGAGTAATCATGCTATTGCTATATATTCAACTAGTAGAACAAAATAACTTACTATATCTTTACAGAAAAAGGTAGCAAATCAATGTAAATTTGACTCTTGATCAAAAGTTTGGATGGGTTCATAAACAAATAATTAGGTTTTATCTTATTGTTATTTTGGCCACTTTTTTCTCTTATTTACTTTTAGTAGATTGATTTATACTATTTCATAATATAATGAATAAATAAATAAAATATAGTAAACCAATGGTATTAATTAATAATAGTTTTAGGCATAAAGTATAGTAAATCTAGCAAATAATGCCCAAAAAGAAAGAGGCTACAGCAAATCAAGTATGATATTTGGTATTGTAGCTGGATTATGAAATCATGGGTTCGAAAAACTATGGTAAAAAGATTTTCTATTTGTCTTTTTACTTAAACTTCAGATTAGGGTTTTATTTAAAAAAAATTTCAGTGCAGGTTAATTTTTTTTTTATAGAGAAATTATACTATGAAAATAAGTGAATGAGATACAAATATTGAAATTTAAATTTTAAAATTATCGGATGTTATATTTTGATAATTATTATAAAAATTAATTGAATTAAATTTAAATTTAAAATTAAAAAATTTTTAATTTATTTAACATTATAATAACTAATCAAATCACAATTATCGAGTTAAATTATAATCTTCAATTTTTTTATTTAATAGCTAAGACATTTTAAAAGGATATAGAGATTTGATTTCAAATCAAAATCTCTTCTTTTTTAATGAATCATGTGGATCCTATATTAAAAAAAATAAAATGAACATGTCACAATTACTAAAGCCTGGCTAAGATCATCGATTGGTTGATCTAGTCATGTAAAATTAAGATCAATATGAAGTTGAAACAGCCTAGTTAATCATCAAATGCAATACTCCTTGTTTGGGCTGTTGGGAGTTTTTTTTTTTTTTTGTCAAATCCAATCCATTCTATCTAAAAAGAACTAGAAGCCCCAAACTCATGAAAATGTTGAGCAAATCTTGCTATTGGCCCAACCACAAAATATTCAAATTCTAATCGAAACCAAGAATTCTTCTGTTCTATCTCCTCCCAACGGCCACTTGTCTAATTCATAAATAAAAAAAGGGACGGGACCACTGTGGTTTAGAAAAACCTGCTGAGAAAACCTTTTTCTTTCTGTTTCATTTATAATTTTCCTGGTGCTAGTCCAAGAGTAAGAGTCAAAAGCGCAACGCCCACAATTTCAGGCTGTCTCTGATATTCTATCTATCTCCCCTTGAATCATGCTCCGCCAAATAAATGTATTCTCCATTTTGTTTCTATTATTAGTGTCCTTCACGTTCTCTCTCCTTCTCTCTTTAATTTTGTTGCTACAATCTTTACGGAGTAGTAGTAGTAAATTTCGGATCACCACATGACTAGTTCTTACTCTTTCATGTTCAACAAACAAGTAACAACCAGATACCAAGGATCATATCCAAAAACTACCTTACTCTCTTTCAGGCTTCCCTCCCTCGTGCATTTGAGTTTTTCAACAAACCAGCTATAGCCCACCACCAAAAAAGAGACTAGCACACAAGGACCAATTCCTAGTTTCTTTTTCTTTTTGTCTTTTGCCCTTTGCTTTCTGACTCTTTCTGTCTTTTGCTTTGGCCACAGACAATTCTTACCTTTTTAATTCCCTTCCCTTGTTTACACACCGGTTTTGTACCTTATTCTGTTTGTTGGTGGAAGGATCAAAAGTGATTCCGGTTCTTGTTGTTCTCCACTGTTGAATGAGTTGATGTCTTTGGCTGTTGGAGCTGTAGCAAGTTCCAGTAATATGGGGTTTGAGGACAACAAGGAGAAGAAGGCAGCTGAAGACAGGAGTGGGACTCCTGAAAAAAAGCCAACTCATCCTCAAGAGAGCAGTGATGATGATGGAGGAGACAGGATAGGCAGCACACAGATAAGTGATGAATCCTCTTTCTATGCAACTGATCAGGATGATGATTACGATGATGATGAGCATCGCAACACATTTCAGTTGGGTCCGCAGTGCACTCTCAAAGAACAGCTTGAAAAAGATAAGGTTTTTGTCATCTTATTCAGATGGGTTAATTGTCATATGCACATGCATAGATTTTTTATTTCACTGTTATATGTTTGAGATCATTGCTTGAGTTGTAGGATGATGAGAGCTTAAGGAAGTGGAAAGAGCAGCTTCTTGGAAGTGTGGATATCAACAACATTGGAGGTACTGTGCTGATCATATTTTTTCACCAACTACATTAATTATTCGTAACCTGGCACATTTGAAACTTTTTTAATTTTTTCCCTCTCTTTCTATCATTTTCTTTTTTAACTTTCATTGTCAAATTATAGACCCAGCTGATGCCTCTTTGTTGAAAAATGCAGTGCAGATGTATATATTATGAATTAATTTTGATTCTGAATATTTTTCTTCCATTGACTTCACATGTTGAGAAGGAACATAAGATCAAGTTGTTCACATTCTATTGTTCTGGCTCTAGATAAATGGGAACAATTCTGTGCTAACTGGTTCTTAATATAGCTGTTTATCATGTGTACTAATTTAATATGATGCAAGTCCATGAAATTGAATAATTCTGCATTTTGCTTCATTTCTAATTAAAACTTCCTTTGGGCATGAGTCCCATATATGGATACTGCAAGCACAAATAGATCTGGATATTTTCACCAATTGTAGAATTCGCCTTAGCAAAAACCAACCACCGAAACTCGGGTCATTGTGCATGCTCTGATATGGTTACTTCTCTGAGTTGAAAATTATCTGCCAGAAGATTGCTTTTGCAAGAAGAAACATTTTGGTCAGTAATCGTGACTGATGGAATTTATGTGCATTATTTTCTTGTGCAAGACGACAATAACTTTGTCAATAACTAGATTTTATGCATTTTCCCCAACTTCAGCTGACGTTTTGAAATGCAGCATTTTCTACCATCCTGGTGCTTGTAATATATGTTGAGATTTTGTTGGTTTTCTTCGGGACTTCCCCCAGTGCTCGTAAATATTAAACCGTCATTGTTGAGAATTCTGTAATTTAAAACATAATAATTATCCAATTTATTCGTCCTTTTTGAGGAGCTAAAAGGACTTTCCTAAACTTACTCTACATTTATTGAATATGGTTTTATTTTATCCCTTTTATTGCAGAAACACTTGATCCAGAAGTAAAATTCCTTAGCGTGTCAATCGTCTCTCCGGACAGGCCTGACATGGTTCTTTCAATTCCTGAAGATGGAAAGCCCCGGGGCTTATGGTTTACACTGAAAGAAGGCAGCCATTATCGCTTGAAGTTCTCCTTCCAAGTTGGCAACAACATTGTATCCGGCCTCAGGTACACCAATACTGTTTGGAAAGCAGGTGTCAAAGGTAAGCCTCCTCTATGTCTTAATTCTTGATAAAAAAAAATGTTGAAGGGAAAAACACTTGAAAATCTACCTAAAAATGAATCTTTTTTTTTTTCAGTTTTCAGCACAAAAGATATGATTGGAACATTTAGTCCTCAGCTAGAGCCTTATACACATGAAATGCCAGAAGAGACAGCCCCTTCTGGTTTTTTGGCTAGAGGATCATATACTGCAAAATCAAAGGTTTGTTCAACTAAGCTCAATGCCTCTATCCTTTCCTGTATGCCTATTTCTTGAGATTCCTTCCTAAGAGATGAAAAACACAGAAGCTGAAAGTTTTCTTTGATGAGTATTTATTTAGAGTGTATCTTTTTGAATATCCACAATATAAACGAGCCTCTCTTTCTATGTGAAGCTTTTACATAGTTTCCCTTGAAGTTATTTATGCCTCTTAGTTTTATTTAATCATCTGACAATGGGAGAGGGGAAAAAGAAGAAAGAAAAGCAGTAGCTTTACTATGTGAGTCTGATCTCAACTGTAGAAGGTTGCTTACCTTGGGGCTAAATAACAGTTGAGAAAACAGGACTAGAGCTTTTCTTTTCATAATATGTGGAGCATCAATTTTTGCTAGTGACAAATATTTGGTTAATTCCTGGGATTTGGATATGAAAACAATGATCTTTGGGAAAATGGGAGAGAGAGAATGAGGATCTTAATTCTGGAATATATATGCTTGATAGATGCCAGTTGAGAAGGTGTGCATGCTAAGAGCTAATTGATGTGTGTCCTGCTGAGGATTCAACGAAAACCCTGTTTCTATTAAGGATGAGGAGTTTCAATTTTGATGCAATGAGTTGTCAATTGAGTTTTATTACCAAAAACACTTTGTCGTCTACTTTAATTACTTTCATGCAGCTGACGCTTATTGAAGGAGTGCACTAGATCCAATTCCTTTGCTATTTTTGGATTTTTTATACTGTTTTAATTTTTAGCCAAAAGCTTGTTCTTGTCAATGATTTTCTCAACTTTTTTTAAAGATCTTTCTAGTTAGTATTTCTCAAATTCTTGCATTTTCTTGGTTGCATCAAACATTTTTATCTTAAACTTCTAACCATATTTATAGCTTCTTGTTTCTTGCGCTTGAAACCCAAAATTTCAAGCTTTCAATTATCCTACCTACCTTCATATGGATGATGATGTCCATTATCATCTCTTTCTTAATTTATTGTATAGCATATGTGACCCATGAATTCATTCATTTAAGATTTAACTCACCATTGTTTGGCTACCTTTAGCTACATATATGGCCCATGCTGAAATGTATATGAATTACTTGATGTAGATGTAGGGGTGTAATCAAACCGGACATGAATTAACTTTGTTATGTTTGTGATTTATTCGTTTAATTAACAAACCCTGAAATATTGTTCTTAATCATTTGTAAAGCTTAATAAAAGAACAGAAACCAAATCTTTCCACAACATGTTCTGTCTTGTACATTTTATTGAAATGATTTCTGGTTCTAAATCAAATTGTTCAAGTAAATTGAATTACTGTTTCTCTTTGTTTCAGTTCCTTGATGATGATAACAAGTGCTACTTGGAGATCAACTATACATTTGACATCCGTAAAGAGTGGGCTGCTTCTAATTAGAGAAGAACCTGATGAGCTCTAGCACCCTTCATTCATCTCTATCAATGTTCTTATGCCACTATATGTTCAGCTAAAGTATCTCAATTTCAGACAATTTTTGACTTATCTCAACCATCTCTTTTCTGTCTAAACCAGCTACTCCATGCAACAAAGGCAAGTGAGTAAGATCTCACTTGGAAAAGCTTTTGCTATTCATTAAGAGCAGAGTTAGCATTTCTTAGGGACATTTTGATAATGATATCTAGATATTGCTCTTGTTCAATTCTTCTATGTGCATATCACAACAATGAGTGAGTCAATGATTTCCTTTTGTCATCATACTGCTCTAAATTCAGAGATTGTGATTTCCAATAATTAACCATGCAGATAGTAGGATTTAAAACATTAGAAAGCAGTGCAAGTAATGAGCTTGATCCTAACCTTGCCTGTTTATCCAAATCTTCCAGCTGCTAAAGCTTGATATAGCTTAGAATTCCTCAACCGATACATGCAAGGGAACTAAACTGTTCAACTAAGTATCATTGCTGGAACTGTAAACAACTCCAGCCTGATTATTATAGAATTTGAGAGAGCTCAGGCAACTACCATTGAACTGAATTTTAGAGGAAGCTCAGAACAACTATTGTATGTATTGGTATGAAATGAGCTGCACCCACGTTAATTAGCAAACTTGCATTTTGCATGACTCGTGCGTGTAGTCAAGGCAATTTGGCCTAATTATGGAACAAAATGTGAAACTGTGGTTCCCCACACTTTTGTTCCCTGGGCAAGTGTTGACATCGTTTGTGCCGTTGATGACGGAGTTGTTTTACTTTCAATGCCTCCAACGAGATTTTTCTAATTATTAAAATGTTATTCAACCTAATTTTTCTCTCTCACCAATAACTTGTTCTTTTGATCAAGGGTGTAATAGAATATAGTTGGGTCATTTCAATGCTGGGCTCGAGTTCAAACTCAAATTAAATCATTTTTTTAATTGAATTCAACTCGTAATTTATTTAAATAGTTCGAACTCAATTAGATTAGATTCGATAAAATTATAAATTTAAACATCAAATACTATATTTTCACTATTTACTTATATATTTATAATTTATAACTATAATTTATAGTAACATGTGTAAAATACTAATGTAAATAATCTTTTGAGTTAACGAAAAGAGAGATCTACATATATTCATTATATTTTTAAATTGATATTTTAAAACTTTTTATTATAACTATTAATAAGATTTATCCAACTTAAAAATAAAAACTCTACTTTCATTAAATAAATTTTTTTTATAAATAAAATTGAATTAAATTTTACATTAATTTTTAAAAGTAGTAATTTTGCTGTTTGTTTTCAAAGTTTTACTTTTGCATAATGTTAAAAGTAATAAAATTTATGTTAATTAAATATATTTTTCACCTAAGACAAAACTTTACATGTTAATATGTATTGTTATTAATTTCAACTATTTTTTAACCAAGGTATTAATTTTAAATATCACTAAAGAGTAAATAAAAATAACATATTTTATTTTTTTAAAATGAAATCTATGCCAATTTGACTTAGCTGAGTTATACCATTTACAAATTTGAGAAAGCTTAAGCAAAATTTGAAACCTGAATTGCGGAGTTGAATTGAATTTAAGTAAATATATAGCATTGATATTATATTTAGCCTTGACCCGAACTCAGACTAACCTACTTATGGACTCTTCTATAGAGATATAATTATTTAAAATCTTGAAAATACTTTTAAGAGAGATAAATTTTGAGATCAAATCCTTCCTTTTATCTAATCTATATAGGAAAAAGTAAACAAAAGCTTGTAGATTAATAAATGGTCAAACAACAAATCCCAACTAATTATATAAAAATATTAAGAAAAAAAATAATTATAAGATTAGTCACTAAAAATTTTATGTGCTTGTATTTTTATCATTCAACTATAAAAAATTACAATTTAATTATTAATATTTATGAAATTTTTTATCATTTAATTGTTAAAGACTAACAGCATTACAATATGGCATTACCACATCATCAACTACTCATCATGTGGTGTTGTTACATCATTCAACATGCTTTGTAACACATGCCATGTGAGATTATAAATTGTGAAAAAAATAAATATTAAAAAATTATACTTTTGATAGCTTAATTTTTTATAATTTTTACTTTAATCATTAAACTTTAAAAATTTTATAATTCAACTATCAATATTTTATGAAATTTATTAATATTATGATCTTCATTATTAATATTTTACTGTTAACATAATTTGATAACGATTTGATCACTAATGTATAAATCATTATTTATATTAAAATAATTATAAATTATTTTATTATTTATATTATTACAATGTAATTTTTCGCAATTGAGTGATCAAAATTAACTATATAAAAACTGTAATAACTTTACTAAAACAAACTTTGAAGCTAATACATTGTACTTCAAAAGACAGCCAGAAGCAAAGCCTTGGAGTTTGGAGTGTCACTAAATTTCTTAGAAAATAATTATTGTGAGTTGTGAGCTTGTCATTGAAAAGATGCTGAAGGTCTGAATGACAGACGGACGGGGCACTCAACAAGTTTTTGAGTTTTGACCGAATCAATTGAAAGCAAGCACTTCATTTCTCTCTCATCACTTTCAAAAAGAGGGCGTCCAATTAAGCAAAGCTTGACAAGTCAATACCCCAAAACATTTAAGCTAAGGATCAGCTTGAAAGGGCAATGGCAGCTGCTTCTTCTCCTGCCATTGATGCTAACCTCTCAACTTGCTACACCCCCCCCCCTCCCTTTTTAGCCTCCCGCTCCACTTTGCTTTTCACCAAACTATTATATATAGAAGCTTCCGTGCATTATTAGCATCCCACCCCCATTACTTTTTAAATATTATAATTTGTATTGAGTATTTGGTTTTATCATTTCATTTGTTATTAATTTTTTTTAGCAATAAAAAGCAAAAGGCTGACAGATTTTTTTTTCTCATCACTCTCAAATTGTCGGCAGTTGTTTAAAGTCCTTTATCAATGCTAATTTTTTATTATAAAATGTTTTAGAAAATGATTAATTGGTTGGTAATTTCAATTATGTATAAGCTTTAAATCAACTTAAACAAGCATCACTTTGATTAAACCTTTGCATCTACACCTTTTATGACTAACCATTTGATGCAAATCTTACTGTTGATTGAGATTTATGATCATATAAAGGGAGTTGATGTCAAGAATCAAATTGATTAATTTGATAATTCATAGTGTCGGTTAAGTTAATCCAAGGATCTAATTATTGAAAACAAGGTTCATATGCTGAAATTAATCTAATCTTAACAATAAAGCATTAAATTTTGGACGGAATTTGATATTGCCATTGCACCTAATTTCCTTACAAATGTTGAATTAATTACTGATCAAAGACAACCGGTTGATATTTATAACTAGTAGGAGTAATAAACAAATTTTAACTCAAAGTTGATAGCAGATTTCAATGAAATTTCACATGCTGTCTGTCGTCACTTTGCTACAAGCATAATTTGTTAAGAGTGTCCTTTAGCCAAAGATATATTTTTATAGAACTTAAAATTAAATTTAATTAGTTCAGATAATTTTTTGAAAAAATAATATTTAATAAATTTAAAATTCAAATTTCAATATTTATAATATATTTTTTATTTTAGATTATAATTTTTTAATAAAAAAATACTTTTATAACTAAGTATGTTTGGGATTCATAAAAATGGTTTGATCTGGGTCAAAAAGTATTAAATTATTACCATTTACTGCCTATGTTTCGGTGTTGAGGTTTGTTTTGTTTCTTTGATGAGATTTTATAACTATAAAATAAATTATAATTTTAATCAAATATTATATTATATAAAATTTTAATAATCTTTTTTTATCGTGAAGACAACGACATTAGAGATAAGAGTGTAAATGATACATTAGTACTTGTAAGTTATTCGAGTTCGATTTGAAAAAAACTCAAATTCGGTTTGATTATTATCGAGTCAAGCTCGAGTAGCTCTACTTATCGATCGAGCCGAATTCGAGTATTTTTATATTTGGTTCGAGTAACTCGTGAGCCTAATCGAGCTTTTATATTTAAATATATTTTTATTATTTTAATTAATAAAATATTTCGAATCTGAGTTCGAGTATAAATAATCGAATTTTTATTGAGTATACGAATCGAGTTTATTTTTACATATTAATCGAGCTTAATCGAACGAGTTCGAGTAGCTCGAATTCGATCACGAATCGAATTCAAATTTAAAAAATAAAATTCGATTGAGTTTGAATTAGGTATCGAATTTCAAATTGAGTATCGAATTTCAAATTGTGAGTCGAGTTTAAATTTTTTATTGTATCGATTCGACTTGATTTCACCATTAATTGGAGAGACTTTTGTTAATGTTATTATTATTTTTTTGATATATGAATAATACATACATGCATGGCAATTGTGAGAAGACAATTTCCTTGTGTTAATTATCTAACATTTGAAAATCTCGAAGGAGGATTCTCATCCTTAAAAAAAAAAAAAAAAAGGAATATTTGATATTGAACAATTCATTCTTTTTTAGTACTATTTCGAAACAAATTAGAAAAAACAACGATGCATGATTTTTTTTTAAAAGAAAACTACGGTTTTCTTTACTAATTCTGTGGGCTGTACTATTTCAAAGATCTTGACCTTTCTAAAACAATAAAGATTTTAATATTTTAAGATGTAGAAAATAATAAATTTTTAAAAATATTATTGGTATAAATATAAAAAAATTTTGAATTAAAATTAAATAACTATTAAACATTTAAGTTATTAAATATTTATTTTTATCAATTGAACTCATATTCAAACAAAAATTAATTAATAGTCAATATTTATTTTTGTTCAATAAAAATTTTAATTTGATAAAAATAAATATTTAAAAATTTAATTAAATAAAATAAAATTAAAAAATTAAATTAATTATAATAAAATATTAAAAGTTCGAGTAATTATTTAATTTTTATTTAAGAATTTTTTATACTTAAGTGAATTTTTCTTTATGGGCAAGAGGGCAGGGGGAAGGAGAAACAAAAATGAAAAAGGTGGGGTTTCCTGTGAAGAAATGAGCTGTACAGTGAATATGGAGGAAACCAGGAAGAATACTGGAGGGGTGGGTGGGGCTGTTGGGCTTGTGATTGGTTTGGAGAGTAAGAATAGAATACTACAAATACTACAGTTGGCAATCGGCTTCTTCTCATGGCAGCAACAACCCGACAGGCAATGCTGGTTGGCTCTACTCTCCCCCAGGCCCCACCTACTCTTCCTCTCATTAGATACCTCCACAAGGGAAGGGTTTTACGAGTCCTGGGATCCATCCCAAGATCCCTCAAATAAACAATTGCTATTTCTACAAAAAAAAAAAAAAAAAGGTTTACCCCAAGTTGATATTACGTATTAGAAAGACCAATTTATGATAGACAAAAAATTCTTTCTTTTTTGTAATAGGAATTTGGATTTTATGAATAGATCAGAAAATTATTAATATAAAAATCTTTTATGACAATTAAGTTGAAAGATGATTTCCAACGATGAAAAATATATCGTGAGATGCACAATGTTGGTGTGTCGAAGGATTAGAAAAACTAATTAGTTGAAAGATGATTAAGAAAGCCTACCTTACATAGTCCTCTTTCCTTGAAAGTCTTGCCAACTTAAGAATGCATTGGTTTTTTCTCTAGGGACGTGCCATCCCCAGCTCATTCAATTCAATTCACACCAAATAAAACAACACCCATATGTAATGTATAATTTCTTGCCCCTACTAATTTCCTTACCCTTTACATCCCCACTTTAGACACCAACAGCTAGACCTACCCCACATTAACCTTTTTCTGTTTATAACTTACAAGCAAAAAAAGTCCCATCTTTATATAGTGTCTCTCTGCTTGTTCCAATCTGCTACATTGGTACCCAAAGCACTAAACTCTCTCTCTGAATTCCTCTCAGTCAGGTTAGCGTCCTTCATTTGTCTGCTCTCATTGAAATTTGCTTCTGTTAAAGTTCCATTCTTAGAGTTGTAATAATCCATTTTCTTTTCAAGTTAAATACTTTAAATCTAGATTATCTTTGCTTTTTGTTGATGTACATTGTGTGGCTGTGATTTTTTTCCCTTTTTTCTAGAAGAACTTACTTGGCTTTTCTGGGAAACTTCTTCTAGTGTGAAGTACCCTGCCAGAAGTAAAGTTGAGTTCCTGCCATTTGTAAAATTAAGGTGTATGCAAAGTGAAAATTAGATTTGATCTGGGTTTTGGTCTGAAATTTGATTACTTTGGGAGCTCAAGAACAAGAAAATGGATCATATTTACGAGTTCAGTTTAAGTTTTTTAGCCTTCACATTTATGTATCATCTGTAATTACATAGTCTTAGATCCTGTTTTAAACTCTTTTTTTTTTTTTCTTGTTATGGTTAATGAGAGTTCCTATTATTTGCTTTGTTTTGATGAACTAGTCAAGATCTGGTTTTTCATTACTTTCGTTCTTGCAGAAAGTAGGAGATTTTGGTTTTATTTACAATGCATTTCTTGTTTTGTACAGATGGAACCCTGAGATTCTGATCTAGATTGTGCAATGGGTTTCGATCTTAGGGAATTTTTTATTAGTTTTCGTTCATAATGTAGATTTATTGGGTTTTTAACCGTTTAGCTGCAATGTAAATGTGAAGGATTTGATTCTTGTAGGAATTTGGAGAGTTGTCACTACTGAAGCAAAACTAAATTTCTGGGAAAAAATGGAGTTTTCCAGGATTTTTACGGTTAGTTGTTCCGTATTACTCATGTGCTCCTCCTTGGCATATGGGCAAGCTGCTAGTCCTCCTGCTCCGGCCGCAATGACTCAAACTCCGACACCAGCACCAGCACCTGCACCGGAATATGTGAACCTCACATATTTACTCTCTGTGGCTGGTCCATTCGAAACTTTCCTCAACTACCTTGAATCTACTAAAGTCATTGACACCTTCCAAAACCAAGCCAACAACACTAAACAGGGCATTACAATTTTCGTACCAAAAGACAATGCGTTCAAGGCTCTGAAGAAGCCTTCTTTATCCAATCTCAGTTCTAACCAGCTCCAATCACTCCTCCTTTTCCATGCCTTGCCCAAATTCTATGCCCTTGCAGACTTCAATGACCTCAGTGCAAAAAGCCCTGTTAGTACACTTGCTGGTGGCCAATACACTTTGAATTTCACAGATGATTCTGGCACCGTGCACCTTGATTCAGGATGGAGCAAAACAAAAATTACCAGCGCTGTACATTCAACTGATCCTGTTGCAATTTATCAAGTCGACAAGGTCCTTCTTCCAGAGGCGATCTTTGGTACTGACATTCCTCCAACTCCTGCTCCGGCCCCATCTCCTGATATTAGCCCAGCTGCAGATTCTCCATCAGCAGAGTCTAAAGGCGACTCTTCACCCAAGTCTTCACCTTCAAATTCATCATCTCATAGGATTATAAACTTGGGCATTTGGAATCAGCTGGTTTTGGCAGTCTTAGGTGGGGTGGTTCTGTTTTCTTAAGATAGAACTTCATTGAGTCTAATTTATGTTCTGGGAGGAACACCTCTGAGTTTCTCAATTTACTTTGATTTTTAAAACCATTTTTTCATTTTTATGTTTTTGAGATTATGTGTTGAGAATGTGAGTTCTTCTGTTATTATTACTACTTCAATTTACATGGCTTTACCTGAATCTCTGTTTTTAACTTGATCATACTTGTTTCCATTTTTTTTTTTTTTTGGTTGCCACATCTAAACTAGTTGTTCTAGCATAGAATTGTTATTGGCTTGCTGTTAAAATGAACAATTAGACTAGCATTGAATGATTGTAAATATTTTTCCATGGCGAGAAACTTGATTTCATACCAATTCTCATTCATGGAACTCAGTCAAGATCACAAGCAACCTCACTATCCAACCCCAAAGGGGCAAAAGAATAAGGACCATGGTTAAGTTGGTGCCCCAAGATCTGTTTCTGCTGGTGCTAACTCTTGCATTAATAGCAATTCGTTCAAGTTCCATTGAAATGCAAAGAAGGCTCCCTCTTCCTACAGCGGAAGGGATGGTTTTTTTTTTTTAATAAAAGGTCATAACTTGATGATAAAAAAAATAAAATTTAGTTTTGGTGGTACATTATAAATGGGTTGGGATCTAATGCTTATAGAGACGAAATTAGTCATAGTTGCTAAAAAAGTGTATATACACATCAGCATAGATGGAAGGAAAAAGTAGATGAAAGAAAAACAAGTTGCAAATAAAGAAATGAGCAAGGTTAAGGTATTCACATGGAATTTAAGATAGGAAGAGGGAGGGCCATTGTGTTTTCACACAGTCCCTGAAAAATCATGAGAATATACTCATTACAAGGGCCACCCGACATAATTATGCTGCGACAAATAGTTTCACGAGTTTGGCCACCACCCGGTGGCGACCAAAATTGAATAGGAAAAATTGGAGTTGGAGCTGAGTATCAGTTGCTTATTTTTTGTACGACCAGATTATTTATGGTGGCAATTAATGCAGCAGTATTTACTTACTACAGTGATTGAGATTTGAGAGGAAATATAAAATAATTAATTAATATTCAAGATATTGGCCATGTGTAAACAAGTGGCCTATTAGCTCAGTTGGTTAGAGCGTCGTGCTAATAACGCGAAGGTCGCAGGTTCGAAACCTGCATGGGCCATTGTTTTCGTTTTTTTCTTGTTATGTTTTTCCAATATATTTTCTTTAGGCAAGCGCTTTTCATCTTGTGGCCCAGGTCCAGTTGAAATTGGATTTTTTTCTTTCGGGCAATGAAACTGGATCAACATCAGCCCACATTGTTATTATTATTTTTAAAATCAGAATCCAGTTTGGTTTCCTTTATACCCAGCACTCCAAATGTTCTCAACAATTTCTTTCCATTGTGCTTAAAAGTCAAAAGAAACACTCCGAAATTTTGAAAAACTATTTTTTAAATTTATAGTTTTGAATTAGTTATAAAATTCTTGAATATATAGTTCAATTTTTCAATGATAATGTGTGATTTAAATTTTAATGGACCGACAACCAAAAAGGTTTCGGCTATCAAAAATTGTCCCTGGGCTGCCAACATGAAAAAGGAAACAAATAAAGAGGGGAAGGGGGTGGCGGAACGGGAAGCACAAGCTAGCTAGCCTAGTCAATCTGAAATGCTCAAAAGTCCGCTAATTCCGGTCACTAGGGCACCGACCAATTAACTTTTTTTTTCTTTTTTTCCATTTTGATTAACTTATTTTTATTGTGGTCATAATTGTTTTTTTTTTATAAATAAAGGCAAAGCATGTTGATCATAAAAAAATGTTACTAATAATGAAAGTTAAATTTAAATTTTATAAATAAAATATTTATTTTTTATCAACTCAATCAATTTTATATTTTCATCATAATTTAAAAACTAAAATTACATTAATAATTGAGCATTTGATTAATAGCTCTTATTCAAAGAATTGCATTTTTCTAAAACAAAAAGAACAAAAAAAAAACTCATTATCAATATAGACTTTATATGGAAAGATATTAAAAGTGTCAAACAGCTTAGCCCAACACATTGACACTTCTATTCATTAACAAAATTTACTAATCTTGGGTTCCACTTTTTCTTTCATTTTTTCTTAGATGTCTTAAAATTTTTTTACACTTAATTTTATTATTTTCTATATTCTTAAATTATTTTTCATGTTTTTTAATATAATAAATTAAAAAAAAACAATAACATAGTAATATTCTAAATAAAGAAGTGTTTGCTAATGAGTGGACACTTTAAATAAAACAATTCATAATTTTATTCATAAATTTTAATATATTTAATGATATATATAATAATTTTAGATCATATTTATTGTATAAGATAATAAAAATGATAGGATAATAATTATTTTATATCAATTACTAGGAAAGTTAATTATATTTTATACATAAGATGATTCATTTCTCTTAAAATAAATAGAATTATTTTTAATTCATGATATTAAATTTATATGTATTATTATATTTTTAAAAATTATATTAATTATTTAAATTATATAAATTTTAAAAAATAATTTTGAGTAATAAATAATATTATTTTATTTTAATCCATACACATATCAAATACAAAATAAAATAAAATAATTTATTTTAATTTTATTCATATTATTATCTTATCTTATTTTATCATAATTTTATATATAAAATATCCCCTTAAAAAGTATCTAAAGATATCTCTTTTAAGAGTCTTAACATATGTAACTTTTTTATTATTTGAATGGTACTTAAAAATTTTTTTTAAAAAATGTAGAAAAAGAAGGAATTGAAACCCTCCAACACGGGAATTAAATGAAGATGACCAATGAATATAAATGAGCCAGAAAAAAAAGAAGGCAATGTTGTCTATTTTTTTTTGCATTAATATACATTTAATACTACTTCTATTTATTTATTTATTTACTTTAGAAAGAAAAAAAAAATCCATTTTCTCTGTTTTTATTTGGCCTTTTGTCGTTCTCTCTCCTATTCACATTTGCAATTGGCAATGTTCGCGGGTTCTCTGGAGGCAACACGCTTTTCTCTCGTCCCCATTTCCTTCACTCTCAATTCCAACATCACCCAAACATAACACATCCTCTTTCTCCTCTCTCTTACAACTGCCATAAACCTACGACAAGCCAAAAAAAAGATGGAGGAAACCACCCTTCAATCTTAGCTTCTCTGTCTCTTTTCTCTCTGTTTCTCTTTAAGGTTAGTTTCCTCATTATTATTCTGTCTTTTTCATTCGTTTTCTTATATGGGTCTTTTTTTTTTAATCTCTGTTTTGGCAAATATGATTGTCTTTCTTTTGGGTTTGTTAGTTTGGTTTGATCGTTTAATTTTCCTATTGAATTATATGTATGCATGTGCTTTGATTTCAAACCTATATGATGGTTTCTCAATTGAGTTTCTCTTCATTTCCGCATTCATTGGATCTGATTTTGTTGAATTTTCATTGGCTTAAGGTGTATGTAATTTGAACGTGTAATAATATTTGGTTGTGTGTGTGATTAGGGGGGTAGAATTTGGTGGAAAAAACAAGGCAAACAATGTCTAGTTATCAAGGTGTGATCGTTTCTGATCCTTGGCTTCAAAGCCAGTTCACTCAAGTCGAGCTTCGCACCCTCAAATCCAAGGTAACCTTATTTTTCTCTTTCTTTTGGTTGTTTTTGGCTTTATTTTTTTTTCTTTCGGGTGTAACATGTGACACCAACTCATTGCATAAGTACCTTGAATGAAAGTGAAACCATGCATTTAGTTCTAAAGATTACAATTTTAATTTCTAACCCTTCAAACTACCATTTGCTTTTTGTTTGCAAATAGACTTTTGCAACTAGCAAAAACAACAACTATAGGCTACCTTATTTTACATGATTATATAGTGAATTGGCAATCTTTGTTTGACATGGGACATGGATTTCCTTTTTGTTGCTTTTAGTTTATCTCTGTGAGGGCTCAACATGGTCGTGTTACTGTGGGTGATTTGCCACCAGTTTTTGCCAAGTTGAAGGCTTTTAGTGAAATGTTCAATGAGGATGAGATTAAGACTATCTTGGGAGAGTCAAATAGTGACATGGGTGAAGAAATTGATTTTGAGGTGTTCCTTCGGGTAAGCCTTTTCAAATAGCAGTTGCACTGCTTTCCCAGTATAGCCTTGTTAATTATAAAGAAGATTCAATATCTCAAATTTTGTGAATCAATGTTTCCTGATGTATTTGTGTTAGGATACCTGGTGTATGGTGTTTACTTTTTTTTTTTTTTTGCATATGTTCTTATTTCTTGCTTGGTGGCTATCTGTGGGATTTGGTGAATTGGCAGGCTTATTTAAATTTGCATGGTCATGCAACTGCAAAATCAGGTGGTTCAAAATCCTCATTTCTCAAGGCAACCACGACCACTTTTCACCATGCTATTAATGAGTCCGAGAAGGCTTCTTATGTTGCTCATATTAATAGCTATCTGGCAGAAGATAAATTCTTGAAAAATTTTCTTCCAATTGATCCAGCCACAGATGCTTTATTTGATCTTGCTAAAAATGGAGTTCTTCTTTGGTTGGTTCACTGGACCTACTTGACAATGCTTTACACCTTATTGATTCATGACTTGATGTTTGTTGATGCTTTTAGTTGCTTTCATGCAGCAAGCTTATCAATGTAGCTGTTCCTGGGACAATAGATGAGCGAGCTATTAACACAAAAAAGGTTCTCAATCCCTGGGAGAGGAATGAGAACCATACTCTTTGCCTTAATTCTGCAAAAGCTATTGGTTGCACTGTGGTTAATATTGGCACGCAAGACCTTGTTGAAGGAAGAGTAAGTAATGCTCCTTTCTAATACCAATTTAGGTGTTATACTTGCCTTTTAATATAGACTTGCACAAGATTCTAACTTCTCCTGTTGTCTTTTTTTTTTTTTTTGTGATTTTATTTTGTAGCCCCATCTGGTACTTGGATTGATTTCTCAAATTATTAAGGTATTCAGCTCAAACTTCTTTTGAACTCATTTATATTGTGCTTGCAATTCATAGAATTGTAGAAACCATACTGATCATATCAGTTTTCTTCATCCATAGATGTTTCAAGGGATACATATTGAATTACATTGCTAATAATGTTTACATGGTTGTAACATCAGATTCAACTACTAGCAGATCTCAATCTGAAGAAAACTCCTCAACTTGTGGAACTGGTGGATGATAGCAAGGTCCGAGAATGTTAATTGGTTTTGCCTTCTTTCTGTGTTTTGATAATATCAGATACTAGATTAGTTCCATTTTGCAGGTTGGAAACAAATTTTTTTATTCATCTTTTGTACAAATTTTGTAGGATGTGGAAGAGCTCTTGGGTTTAGCACCTGAAAAGGTATTGCTGAAATGGATGAATTTTCATCTGAAGAAAGCTGGATACGAAAAGCAGGTTACAAACTTCTCTTCAGATTTGAAGGTAGGGAAACTCGACAATTTATTAATTCTAGTTATATGGCATGTCAATTTTATATATGAAAGAAT